GACCATTGCCACACTTCATGATGCCGCTTATTCGAAACTGGTTAAAGACAACAGGCATTACATGCGAGTGATTTGCGAAGTCCTGCTTCTCACTGCTCAGCGGAAGATTGCCCAACGTGAGACTGGAGGTTCATTTCGTGTTGCCGATATAAATAAAGAAGCTCTAGACTATGGACCTTCTTGTGGTAATTTTCTTGCGATACTTGGTCTTCTTGCAAGGCATGACCCAGTTGTTGCTGACAAAATCCGCACTGGCCCGAAAAATGCAAAGTATACTCACCACAGCGTACAGAATGCCATCTTAGACATTATGAAAGACATGGTTCTTGAGCAAATAAAAAGTGAGCTCAATAAGGCTCAGTATTTTACCGTCCTTTCAGATGAGTCTAAAGATAGAAGCAAAAAAGAGCAGCTTGTTGTTGCAGTCCGTTACTGCTACGAGAATGCCATACATGAGGAATTTATTGGCATTGCTGAGGCGCAAAGTTTAGATGCAGATGGTCTTTCAGACACAATAATTGAACGATTGCAACGCATCGAAGCCAACATGAAAGCATGCGTGGGGCAAGGCTACGATGGAGCTTCTGTTGTTTCTGGTCACCTGAATGGCGTTCAAAGGAAACTTCCTCTGAAAACCGGTGCTGAAATGGCTTACTACGTCCATTGCTTTTGTCATCGATTGAACCTTGTGATCGTCGATGTTGTGAAATCAATCAGTTGTGTGGCAGACATGATATCGCTATTCAGAAGCCTGCATTCTTTTCTGAGCAGCAGCACCGTTCATGTACGATGGGTAAAGGTCCAAGAGGATCACAAGGTTCATGTGATGGAAATTGGAAAAGTTTCTGACACGAGATGGTCTTGCCAGGCGAAGCAATTCAATGTTTTCTGGGAGCGGTTGGATATCTTGGTGGAAGTCCTGCAGGATGTGATTGACACAGATACGAACCCCGGTCGCAGAACAGAAGCTACTGGTTATCTTCTGCAGATTGACAGGAAATTTGTGAGATACCTGTTTGCCATCCGACACGTCTTGAACAAAGCCAAATTTGCGTCTGACATGTTGCAGAAACCCTCCAATGATTTGAGTCAAGCCATTGATCTCATTGCAACATTGAAAGATGAACTGGATGACTGTCAAAGCAGGGATAAGATTCAAGAGTTCTGGGATACTGCCGAAGAAGCAGCGGATCGCTTGGAATTGCCGGAAGAAAAAAGACCACCAAGAAAGAGGGCAACGCCTGCTTCTCTTCGAGAGTTTGTTGTGGAAGCATCTTCAGAGCCTCAAGTAGCAAGCGGGTTTGATGGCTACGTACAAAATGTCAAAGAAATACTAAACAGAACAACTGCAGAACTTTGCAAGCGGTTTGACGAAAAAAACATAAAGATCATGAAAGGCATAACTGCATTGGCCCCCAAGTCGAAAAGCTACTTGGACCCAACAACTCTTGTCAATTTTGCTGAGCTTTTTCAGTCTGAAATTGGTGCACTACGCAGTGAAATTGCCACATTTAAATATATGCTCTCAAGAAAAGAAGAAAAACACCGCCCAAGCACACTTCTGCAACTAGAGGCACACTTGGAAAAGCTAAATGAAGCTTTCTTTGAGCTGCACCGGCTTGTATCCATCGCATGCACTTTGCCAGTCTCTTCAGCCGAATGTGAACGCAGCTTCAGCTCTATGCGCCTCATCAAGAGTGATCTGCGCTCACTTATGAAGGACGAGCGTCTAGACAGTCTGATGATGCTAGGTATTCATCGTGCCCGTGGAAGTGCTCTTGACTTGGACTCAGTAGTAGACAGATTTAAGGCTAAGTTCCCGAAGAGTAGAATTGCTCTGTGAAACAATTTTGATTCTTGGACTTGAATTTTCGATATGTAGAAGTGCGTATTCCACCGCTTAGGTCTGTTCCTATAAAGTTACGTTGTGTTCCAGTTTTCCTTAAGTTCAGTTGGTTGCTTTTTATTTAAATTCATACTTTCCAAAGATAGGCCCTACTTGAATTGGCAACGTTTGATGAGTTGTAAAGATTTAGAGTAGTTTTAAGCTTATCTAGAGGCAGCTTTCAAAAAAAATTTCCAGGGACGCCGGAGAAGGGGGGCGCGGGGGGGCAAGCGCCCCTCCTGCCCTTTGCTAGGAGGGGCAAGGGAGGGGGCAAACGTGCCCTTAGTAATATGTCAAAAAACGTAGTAAAAAACACGATTACACCATTTTGATAGCATTTTTAGCCAATCTAATGGGTGTAGCCACCAAAATTTTCCCGGGGGAGTACCCCCGGACCCCCCGAATTTTCGGCTCGCAACGCTCGCCTTCGGTCTCCAGTACCCTTACAATTCCTTGTCGCCCCCTAGCCCTATCGTTCTCTAAAAAAATTAGCCCCTCCGTCGGAAGTGCTAGCCCCTTTGTCGGAGGAAACCTAGCGCCACCACTGACTATATGGTCATTCACTGACTTAGTGGATCAAAGAACCCTTAATCACAAATGATCATGATCACAAATATTCAGTTTCTGGTATTATGTCAAGTTCGTGCAAAAATTGTAGAGAAGGTAATCTGGGAAGCAGAGCAGCATAAATTCCCGTACAGAAGTGCAAGATTGAACTGAGAGCATGGATAAGAGTTTTCTCTCCTTCATCTAAACGCGCGTCCACTCATCTTGTCATCTACGCTAATTCGCCTCTCATCTCTTCCATTTACTCCTATATATTCAACCCCAATACAGCAAAGGCAGCGCTCACCCCCGGATGTTTTTCGTTACAAAAACACTTAAAACTATATCCTGTAGAGGCTTACCCAACATGACACAAGACGCATTTATATAGCTCTGGGCGTTGGTTTGCGCATGCAGCCACAAGTAAACCACCGTTGGAACGACCCTCAATTGCCAACCTAAATTGAAAAAGAACATAACTTATAATTGTTCTGTTAGCTTGTCCTTATTGGCCCTAATTGAAGCCAAATTGCATCTCCCAATTTCCCTTTAATTTGCTTGCATATAAACTTGCCATACCGTAACTTTCCCCCACACTCGAAAAAGCCCCCACCCTAAATTATTTTTATTGCAAAATAATCTTACTATACTCGAGGACTTACGGTATGGAATTTACAAAAGAATGCTTATTGATTACTAACTCAGGCCGAAATGCGCATGAAAAGGCCAACTTCAAACATTTTCAAAGTAGTACATATTTCCACGCATGTGCCTTAAAGTGCCTGTGACATGATTTTTTTATTCTCTTAATCGAAGCGTTGCACTGCTCTTAAAGTAGATCTGAACTTTTTTTGAAATAAAAGCGTTTTCATATTGAAATTAAGCAAAATAGTGCGGCCTAACCAAGTCGCTTTATCATCATTCGCCGTTCTCTTGTGACGTCATGGGAGGAACTCGTTATTGTAACAATGTAAGCGCTACCTTCATAAATTTCATCCTCGCTGCCACTACTTTCTCTGGAAATATCTCTCATCTTGGACCTGTTAGATTTCCCTCATTGACTACGATACAAAAACTCGAAGGAGGAGGCGATCGGGTCCCTCCCTTGACGTCACTGTCTACTCATTCTGAAAACCAAGATGGCGAATTTTGGCGTAGAAGATCGCCAATAACTCCTTCCTTTCTCACGAAACGTAAAAACTAACCTCAAAAATGAAAATAACAGGCATTTTTACATAAGAATAGATATATAAACCCAAAAGTACGAAAATGGTGTCACAGGCACTTTAAAGTAATTTGCCTAGTTCAAACAGGAACTGAGAAACTTTCTCTCACAAAATGTTTTTGCTAGCTGTTAGAATTGGTGATAATATATAGACATTTGGGTTTTCACAGTGAAGCATTTCTGTTTCAAGTTAGAAATTTGTTTATTACTTAGAGCACCATTTTGGTGAATGCATAGCGTTTTGGCAGTAGAGGCCACTTTTCGTCGTATTTGATGTGAAAGGATGCATAAACCTTTCAACCGCTTTCAAGGAGCTATTAAATAGCAGCAGAGACAACGATGAGACCCTATAAGGGGTTTTTGAAATATAAAATAATTGAGATCTTCGGGATGAAAATATAAATATTTAGGCTTTTTAGTCTTGAAATATGAAATAACTTTGGTTCCCAGTATGAAATAACAAAATAACTGAATACCTCTTTAGATGTTGCGTTAGAATTATCTACTTAATAACAGCATTGACTCAAGTGACTTTTGACATGTAGAGCTGTTAAGATACCATGTTACGCTTAGGTTGCTCTTTTAAATATTGCAACCTTTTTAAGGGGTTTAAAAGGCTTTTCATACTTCACGTTTAGGAAAAATATCAACATCAATAACATTTTTATCTACATTGATTGTTCCACATATACATACTATGAATTCTCTACATGACCACTAAACCAAAGTTTTGTAAACCATTCCAGTTCCAAGATTGATTTGCTGACAATAATATCCAGAAATATATTGTTCATTCTTCAATTTTTTACATGTGGCTAACATGTTCCCCGCAAAGTTATTTGTTGAAAATGTTGTTTCGGGCCATATCTTTGAATTCAATATGGTACCAATAAATAATGCTGTCAAAAATGGTGCCAAAAAAGTGATTATAAATTACATTACTTGACGCAAAACGAAATAACTATATTAGATATGACAATAAGGAAATATTATGAAAAACCATGAACACGCAACCGTATAGAGAATTTGACCCACTCCAACTGTTTTTTTCAAATTCGATGAAAGTTTAAATCATAAAAGTAAAGGCCACTGATCATTTAAAGCCTTGGAAATATTCTGGTAATTGACCGGAAGTCGCGTTTCATATAGTCGTGAAATATGAAATAATTGCCAGGTATCATCATGAAATATGAAATAATCAGTGGTGGACACTTGAGGGGGCGAGGGGGGCGACCGCCCCCCCAATACTTTGGAGGACAATAGTCTTTTGTTCTAAAACAATGGAAAATATGACGTCATCTTATTAAAACAATAGGCTTGCCCCCCCCCAATATTTGATCAAGTGTCCGCCCCTGGAAATAATGTCATCCCCCCTTATAGGGCCTCAACGATGCTTAAAGCAAAATATTTTTTTCTAAAACTTATCTCGGTTCCTTTTATGTTTGTCTACAGCAGATCTTAACAAATAAAGGCAAACCAGAGGGCTCATTCAAGTTCGTCATAAAACTAAATGAAAGCATTAAACAAAAATTAAAATGTTTACAGTAGCTTCCCACTCTTGCCACACATTGATCTTACCGCTTACCCAATATTTCAATACGAGCTTGCTTTAAGAACAACATAACAACAGAACATAACCTTTGAAAGTCTTAATCCTGCTCCAATATTTGTAACTCTATTACAATATCATTATAACTCAATTAGATTACTATCTTATCCACAGACTTATTTCAAGATCCTGTCTCCTTAATCTCTTAAAATCTTCTTCAAACAGTATCATAAAATATAACTGCGATAATGACAATAGATGTCTGACTTCGAAAGAGCTTGCCTAGACGCAGCATTTGTCACAGACCATGATTGGCAGTCTGTGACATGGCATGGTCCACATGGGATGGTTCACCATCTTTGTCGGCAAATAGGATCGGAACACCCCCCCCCCCCCCCCTGAGCGCAATAGCTAGCCCTGGTTACTGTCCATTGCGTAGGCTAGCGAAATAGTTCTCGCTGTCTAAAGCCTGGTTCATAGTTCTGAACTTATTAGCGTACGCTAAACTCCGCACAAGGGTAAGCTTTGAAGCGTACGCCTTTTCATCTTGCCTATGGCAAAAGCGTAAAGCCCGGTTCATAGTCGATGCATTACATCAAAACTTATACCCGTACGCCATATTTCTCTGCGTGAGGCGCCAGCTTGTCTGGTGTCGGCTTGTCACAGAACTAGCGTGCGCTAAATTTCGCCCCATATCAGAGGCATAAGTTTTGCGTACGGAAGTTTATTCTATTTTCCGCAAACCCGTATGCCTTGAACTTATCGAGTTGAGAAATCTTCAACTTTTTTATCACTCCGTACGGAAAATTTGATAGCAATGGCCGACTTTGAAGCGAAGCTATGTGAAGAGGTGCAGAAATACCCCCATCTTTACGATTCCTCGCTAAGGGAACACAAGGATTCAGGGCGAGTATCTAATTCGTGGTCAGAAATTGCCTCGACATTAGAAACACCCATTGATATTTGCAAAAAGAAATGGCGATATATACGGGAACAGTACGTTAAATGTAAAAAAACTGCGAAGGGGAAGAGTGGAGACGGAAGAAAGGGGAAGTCGAAGTACGATGCACTTTTGGAATGGCTGTCACCCTTTGTAAAGCACAGACAGTCAGACACAAACATCACTGAGTAAGTAGCTAAATCTTAAGCTATTTGACTTGATTTTTAGCTCTTTATTATGAATTTGTTTAACAAAAGTTTTGGGAAATCTATTTCGCTTGTCATTGCTAATCAAAAACTTCATAAACTCAACAATCTTTTATTTTTTTACTAGACATTCTCAGCAAACGACAACATTTTTGTCCTTAGAAAAATTGCACAAATGAGTCAAAATAATATATAGATAAGTAAAAAGAGATGATAGTTGGTTACTTGAACTTTGAGGTTTTTAATCATTGCTGCAGCATTATCTTATCATCCCTTGTCCTTTTTTATCATTCATTTTAATTTTCATCTATCTGCAGTTTTTAATTCAAAAGGATGGTAATAATTGTGTGATGATTTTTTATTGCTAAAATTACACGCTAAATTATGAAAGATATGGTTAAACAGTTGCCTTTTTCAGTGACCAAGACCAAGACCTTGATCAATCTGACCGCGAAGTGTCTGAAATCGCGTCTCATTCCTCGTGTCCTTCCCCAACTCAATCTTTGCAAGGACGCCAGTCCCCTTTTGTCAGTGAATCAAAGGTAAGGCCCTTTATGTATATTGTCGTCAGCTAAAGTATAGAACTAGTTCAAGAAACGCAGATTTGTGACAATTAAAAGAGGTAAAAATGCTACAAAACTGTCATGTTGGGCAAATTCCAATTAAATACTATCAACGATCATTTCAGTTATAAATAAACAGTATAAAATTATTATTGAATCATGAATCATAAGAATTTAGAAATCAAGCTGCAAATTGATGGCACACAAAGCTTGTATTTTCACAGGTTCTCACAAGCAAGAAGAGAAAAGTACATGACCCGATTGATGAAGCCATTTTAAGGTCATTGTCAACGGAAAATGATGAGGCCAACAACTTCGCAAAAGTCGTGGCTGATTCCATTAGAAAGATGCCAAGACGAGCTCAGTTGATTGTCAAAAAGAAAATTACAGACATTATTTTTGATGCTGAGCTACAGTTGTGCAACACTCCAACTGAAAGTACAACGGAGATTGGAGATTTTTCCCAAGCCACTTTCTCTTCTCTAGACAACCAAGCAAACAACCAGTCCTCGGAGTCAACATATCAAATTTACCCCAGTTTCACGTCTTCGCTTCATTAAAAAAATTTTTGTTTTTGCTTCAGTAAAAAAATTTTAGTTTTTGCAAAAAGTTGTAAAATGAATATTTAAAATCTTTTAACCTCACCTATTCTCTCTAATGAGCACCTTAGTGGTCATTATAGTCTTGGCCTCAGAGAGGAGGCGCTCATTAGCGAGCGGTGCCTATTAGAAAGGGCGTTGCTTAAAAAAAGAAATCCAAAAATAAAAGTCAAAGTTTTAAAATACAAACGAACTGAAAGAACTGAATTTTCCCAATTGATCAACCTAGATTTTATTGAACATACGTTTAACTGATGACTGTTGCGATGATTTGCTGGTCTCCATCTGTTTTTATGATCTTCAGGAGTGCTCAATGGAGAAGGGCGTTTATTGGAAAGGGAGCGTTCATTGGAGAGGGGGCGTTCATTGGAGAGGGGGCGCTCATTAGATAGAATACGGTATTTATGATCAGTTTAAGATAAGTAATTAATCGGGAAGAAACATAAGCTTAATTACCAAATTTATGTTGCAGATAATTTCAATTTCTTAATGATTTTCTGTATTTACAGGCGAATGAACAGTTGAATCAAATTAATATATCTTTATGAATTATATTGCTATTTTTGCTGTTATTGTTATCAATCAAATAAAAGGTGTCGTCCCGTGTTTTAGTAATTATTTCTGAAGTCGTCCTCTACGAACGACAGTTTCTTGCCAAGGTACGCTTCCTTCATCGGTCAAGAAAAAATCTTTTAGCTGTTCTCTATATTTTGTAGCTTGTTTCGATGACATATTGCTACCAACTCGATTTATTGCACGGATACTGTTTGCTTGTATTTCTCTCCATGTCCCTGGCACAACGTCACCCTGTAGTTCTTGGTCAACCAGCGTTGGAGGCACATATCGGGTTTTTGGCGTATTTTGAAAATCTGTTTTTGCTAAATAATTGTGTAATGCAATACATGCTTTCGTTATTGTCACACTATTTTCTGGATTGGCTTCAATTGTGCGACCAAAAACTCTCCAGCGGGCTGACAAGATTCCAAAAGCATTTTCAGAAATTCGACGTGCTCGGGAATGTCTATAGTTATAGACCTTCTTTTCATCGGATAATTCTGAGCCTGAAAATTAATTTTGGAAATTTTGAATTTTTAGGCTACATCCTACGCATTTAGGATATAAATGTTTCTGGAAGGGTGTATTTCTCGTTTGGGACGATGGAAACTTAAAAGCTAGATCAATGAAAATCTGATTGCCGAGAGCACTTCATATAAAAAAAACAACTGACAATTATATAAAATGTTTTGGATACCATGTTTGAAATTATTACCTGGATAGGGGCGCATCATATTTTCCTTGAGTGGAAATGCTTCATCACCAACAAAAACGTATGGGGATATCTGTTCTGAACCTGGCAGTGCACTGGGTGCTGGAAGGTCCAATGTCCCTGCGTTTAGTTTCTTTCCAAATACTGAATTTGCAAGGACGCCTCCGTCGCTTTGCCTGCCATAAGCACCAATATCTACCATCACGAATGAGTATGTGGCATCAACTACAGCTAGAAGTACTATGGAGTTGAACCCTTTGTAGTTGTAATAGTCACTTCCTGCATTTGCCGGTGCCTTTATTGCAATGTGCTTTCCATCTATGGCTCCTAGGCAATGAGGATAATTCCAATATTTCCAGAAATCGTTTGCGATCTCTTTCCATTTTTGCTCATCAGGAAAGCTTAGGAATTCGCTTGAGAGTGTATCCCAAATAGCGCGGCATGTATGGTAAATGATTTGATTTACTGTCGATTTACCGTATCGACCTGTGATGGCTAGGTTTTGCTGTGCATCTCCATGAGCAAGGTATCGTAAAGTGAGCACCAGTCTTTCGTCGGCTGATATAGGATACCTGTGATTCTTTCCGAACGTTAACTTTTCCTTCAATCTACTAAGCAGATCGTTATATCGTTCTTTTGACATTCTGAAAAATTGAAAATGCCTTTCTTCGTCCATCGAACGCAAATCATTGACTAGGATCGCGTATTCCCCGCGCACGTTTCTCAAAGAATTCAAAGGCCGAATATACGACCGCGTTTTGTTGTTCCTTTTCTTTCTTCGCCGAGCAAGTAGAAGGGCAAGTAGAACCTTCCTCGACGGCATATCCGGAAACTATGAACCGAAAAAACTTATGGCGTATCGTTTCAAGCTTCCCGCATGGACATGCGGAAAACGTACGAGCTATGGCCTTTCAATCGAAAAAAAACAGAGAATTGTAGCGCTAATTGATATCAGCATTAAGTAAAGCCTGCTACGCGGGAACCCAACGGCCCCTTGTTTGAATAGTAAAATTAGCCCCCGAAAGACAAGAGTGCTTTGAACCTCCATATCAAAAGAGCAGAGGTCACTTGATAACAATATTGTTTGCACTCCTCTGCGAATTCAATTCGAACTCCTGTATTTTGTTGAATTCAAGCCTGCCTTGTTTCTTACGTTGTTTGTATTTTTTGGGCAAATCTCGGCCTAATGTTTCTTAAAATGGTTGTTCTTATAAAAAAGCGTGTATTCTGATATAATAAATTATTGCCTTCTGGGTTGAAGAACGGTAACGATACGGCTGTTTTTAAGACACTAGACTTGATGACATAAAAGCTTGGATCTTGTTATTCGCGTGTCGTTACTGGGTGGTGGCTGTAGCTGTTTGTATTACCAACACCAATTTGTGATCGCGTGCTAAGCTGAACACTACATAATTATATATTTTGCGTATTACCATCACCAAATCTATGTCATGTCTACATTTTCGTGTGATTTGTATCTTGACCTGTATGATAAAAGTGTATATTCAAGTTTTTACGAGTTTATATTCAAATCAATTGGTTCGTTATTAACATTGTTGTAAGAAATGAAAAAGACTGATTTGTTTGGCCGATGCCTCAAAAAGATATTGTAGCTAGAACAATGACAGTTCGACTTTGTAAATGTGAGAAATTTCAAAACAGCTGAAACGGATTTAATCACCAACATTATCATTATTAATAATGTCAGTGAACATCAGTTTCAGTAAAGAACCTAAATTGTTAAACTTGAAGAGGTTGGATGGAGCAATTTTAAATAGATATGATCAAGGCTTGTGACATTCAGGGCTTCTTTTAGCATCCCACAAGGTTCAGTATCAGGCCCCCTGCTGCTCAATATCTACAACTATTACATACTTCATCTCGTAAAAGATTATAGTTTATGTAATCATACAGATACGATACGTATTTTCTTTGCATGTAGTTCTGATATATACACAACCTATTAGAATGACTTGAAAGGAAATCAAAGAAAATCCCCTGCCCCCTTATGGGGTACTGAACGGGATAAAAAGGTAAAAACTTTGGATAATAGAAATTAGTTGAGGTATAATTATTTACATTGTACAAAAATAAACTTAGCCGTGGTTGCATTGAAGCTGATTACGAAGCAGCGAAGTGAAGTAGTTAATTCCTTTGAAGGAAAACATTGTATCAATCGGATTCAGCGCTAAGTCCTTTTGTCAGGTAACAGCATTAATTAAAAAAAGACTTACTTCTCACTAGATGTGTACTTGTTTTTGACAAGATACTCAGCAGCCACCTGGAAATCGTCAAACACATTTTGTTTTCGTTCGCACGTTCCAGCGCGATGCCAATCCTCGCCGTATTCCGTGCCGCCTCGTATGTTGGCAATGGCCAGCACGCCACCAAGATGTTGAATGAAAATCAGCCGCTTGATGCTAAATTCGGGCATTATCGGAAAGTTGAGACCGCCGTAGCCATATAGCAAGCATGGGTTATTGCCATCTAGAAAAATTCCCTACGAAATACAAACAAAATTTGTCATGAAAGAAAACAAGTCGAGCTTCCCATTGTCTTGATCACTAAAGTTTGAAGCCCATTCAATTTCAAAGGACGAGGGCCCCCAACCGAGGGGCAATTCACTCAAGCAAATAGCGTACGAGATTTTACATATAACAAAAGGATTTCTGGGGCTTTTCAGATAAAACAATAGGATTTTCACTAAAGGTGTACGAGATTTTCTTGGAGTGATTTGCCCCTCGCCCCCAACAATAGCGGGTAGCCATTCCTCAAAACCAATACTTCAACGCGAGAGCTACTATTCTGTGTGTATAATTGCTGAAAAAGAACAAGGCCAGAGCAGCTTAAAACATTGCTAGGGGTGACAGAGAAGGCCGTCTCCTCGCATCGGCTGCTCTGGGGCCCTCTCCTTGGATGGCGACACTCTCGTCACATTAGTCTTTTTGATCAGTAGAAGCTCGATCTAGTCTTTTTTATTGATCAGTGACGTGCCATGTTCAGGGGCGGACTGGCTGGTCGGGCTATTCGGGCGATCGCCCGAAAGGCCGGTCGGTTTAAGGGCCGGTTGATAAAAGTGCAAAAAAATAAATTAGCTTAAAAAGTGAATGCGAGGCAAAACGACTGAACAATTTCTGTACATCATCAGTGAGCAAAAGAAATTTAATCCTGTCCACTGAACATTTTTGGTTGCCTTCAAAATCGACTGAACAACATTCAATATCGCTGAACAAGACTGGACAAGGTGGCAAAACGACGCAACACGCTGGACATTTGTCCAGTCCATGTTCAGTGAAAATGTCTAGTCGTTTTGCTGGGGCTTGAGATTTTAACCTGCCCCGATGTCTCTTTACTTAGCTTTTTGCTTGAAGCTGGTCATGTTTTTCCCTAAGCACAAGCTATTGCTAAATGTAATAAATTTAAAAGTCCAAAAATTAGAGTTCACTAAGCGATTTGCTCTGTGATGTGAAGTAATGAAGAGGACATACGTAGAACAAGGGAAGACCAAGAAGACTTCAACCAAAGGTGGTGCACATAAATTTCGTGAGGAAAAGCTGCGAGACTTAAAAAAGGATTCAGCTACGATACAAAGCTTTTTTTATCAAGCAAAAGCCACAAACGTCACAAAAAACAGTAGGGTCTTGCTCTTGCTCCTTTCAATAAACTCATACAAGTTATGGTAAATTTATTAGGCATATACTATCATAAGTCAAATGGACCCCCCGCCCGACAGGGGTATGGTGCTACACGATAAAATATCAACAAGGGTGCCCATGTTTTCTTTTTGGGGTCAGAAATTGACAAATCGATATTTTTGGGCTGCTGAAAATCATTGTGGTTTTCCGGAGGATTAGAAAATTATTTGTCACAAGTTGAGTGTGATAGAAGCTTTTCCACTTTAAATATATAAAGAACAGATTACGTGGTAATTTTTCGCAGCCAAACCTGGAGTCCTTCATGTTAATGTTCTTAGAAAAACACCTGTTAGATGACATCTAGAACGATCACATTATCAACATATAAGTTACTGTATTTAGAAAGAAAGTCAAACCAATGAGTTAAAATTTTTGTTTATTTACTATTTAGTCAGCAAATGACTTATTTAACATGTTCTGTTAACCAGCATTCATCCATGCACAAAATTACTGAACTTAAAAACTTGTTGTCCTTACAGACTAACATTACTTGCATTTTCCGAGGAGTTTTTTATTTGCTATTTTTGTGGGCCGGTTTGATCAAAATTTGCCCGGGCCAAAAAAATTAGCCAGTCCGCCCCTGGCCATGTTTATCTTCACCTCGAGAGGCGGAAGAAGAGTCTGAAGCATTGATCGACAGCGAAAGTATAGACGGAAAGTAAAGTTTGTTTGATGCAAGAAAGAAACGATCACAGGGCATGCCCCCCCCCACATTTTCAAGCATAATAAATCAAAGAATGAAGGATATGATATGCCATCTCGGAATACGTTGTTGACAAAATCAAGCAACATTTTCTTTTCCAAATGTATGAAACCTTCATCATACATTCATGAGGAGTTATGCCCTGAAATTCTCAATCAACTACAATTCTTATCATACCAAAAAGTTTTAAGCTGAAAGTTCAAGCGAGAAATAATAGAACACTTATCAAGGAATTATAGTTAGGAAAAATATTGCAAAAAAATTCCATTATTTCTGAACAATACCCATAATTACGAAAACGCCAAAATTGAGCTTTGATGATAGGTGTACCTGTAAAATGTTTCCAATAAAAAAGCTTTTCTTGAAGGATTTTGCTATGGTAAATTCAGAGATACTTACTTTGTGCATGGGTGTCTAAAAATTTTAAATTCCTTACGGAGCAAACGAAAGTTGAAAATCAAACTCAGAAAATAAAACGGATGCGCTTTTATGGGAATACTATTTTTGTTGAAACATTTGTAGTCTCTTTCTAAATACCAAAATTTCCAAGCTGTGTTTTGCTAACCCACGATGATCAAATTGAGACTCTACTTCAATCTCTTTTTTAATTTGCTCTCGTTATAGCTAGTTGATTTAGAAAGTGAAGACTATTTTTCTTTTATAGAAAAAAGAGGTTTTAAAAATGCTTGCTTTTCGGAAACAAATCTTTATAGCCAACACCAGAAAAACTTGAAGCATATTTTTTTGGCTTTGAAAAACAGCCTGAGTCTGAAAGCCTAACATACTTAGTGACCTTCTCTCGCGGTCCCCGATGATTTCAACCCTTGAGGCGATGTGCCCTAAGAATGATGTTCAGGCATGACACGCCCTTCCATCAAGCATGACACGCCCTTTGTTGGGCATCGAAGTCTCATACCCCATTTCTCTCCAAAGCTTAATAAAAATAGTGAAGTTTCGCCCCTGTTCCCACTTTATCCAAGAATTGGCTGTTCCACAAAAGCCACTCTTGGTCCCTTTCTCAAACATATTTGGGTCATAGGTCTCATTACTTCGATTTATCATTCACTTCCTTGCATCTCTATAGATAAGTTTTTCTACCAAGATATTAATTGTATTATCGTTTATGATTCAATTTCAAGCTGCTATGAAGCCATAATTTTTCATTACAGATTACGAACAGATATGGAAATGACGAACACCAAGTAACCAATCATAATGAAGCTTCCGTTCAAGTTTTTTTTGGACAACCAAACAGATATCTGTTAATTCTCTACATTCTAATTATACTTTAAAGTATGAGCAATACCTTAGGCAAAATATGTACAATAAAAACAAAGCTCTGACAAAATGGTTTGCATACTACAGCTTCAGTCTTTGCTTATGTCAATGTAGTTGCAACGGCAGGATGTTCCATCTTTTTTCTAGCCAATCTGATCATATCAACATCATGGCAAATATCATTTATTATTACTACTATTTGATTGAAGTAGATCTTATAAAACTTTAAGCGATGGACGATCTTAAAAACTAAAGACTTTTCGATAAATCTAAAATGCTCCCTACTGCCAATAGTTTCCAATGCACTCAATTTATGCTTAAAAGAGCACCCATTCCAAATGGAAAATACTGACCACAAAATGCCTTGATTTGGAAACCGGGCGTTTTCAGCCACAGAACAAAGTTTATTATAATCACAGAACTACAACAAGGCACGCATCTCAAATACAACAACTAACCGCACTATTAAGAAGCAAAGAAAAACAACATATATAAAGAAATTTTTTGATTTAGTTTGTACCTTTTTGTGCATGATAAAAACCGGGACTTTTGTGCCATCTTTGCTTTCAACAAAAACCTGTTCAGTTTCGTAATCCGATGCATTGAAGCCCTTCACTTCGATCTCTCGAAAAACCTGCAATGTAAAACGTCCCCAATCAACTAACTCACAGCAAGAACAGAGATTCATGTGGTCAATGTTAAACAGTCAGATGGCAAAATTGGAATGTTAAGACTTAACTCTGTCGAACATATAAAGAATGTTTTGGTTAAGAATGAGAACTATCGCATAAAATAAGATAAGGCAGAAGAGGTGAATCATGGTACAACAGTGTTGAGAAATTACGTTATAAAATATCATTTTGAACTACCTTCGGTTCTGAAGATTCATCACTTAGATCCCAATGAAAGATTGTACCAGGTGCCAAAAAAGAAGTGAACTTGTAAAATATCTGGAAATTAAAAATAATTGAAGTGGTTATTATAAATATTGACCATGCACAAGGTGAATTACTTTTCAATGACTGTTCATGTTTGATAACATGATTAAAACATGATTAAAACATCATCTTAGCAGTTAAATTCGAATAAAACGATGATGCAGATAGTCAAAGGAAAGGTAACCAGCATGATGACCAAACTATTGTACAAAAACGTCTACACTTCATTGTTTGACTAACAAGCTTCTTGATATTGTAATTGGAATTTGAAATAAAATCATCAAGAATTTGGTTTTTAAAAGCTTTGACCTTGGCCACACAACCTAAGATTATACTATGATAAGCTCTCGAAGTGCAAAGTCGGCTAAATATGTTGCAAATTGACTGGGATGCTGCGAATGAAAGAACAAACCACTTTAACGAGCCACGTGCCTACATAAAACGTGGGGTCTGGCACTAGTTTGGGTTAATGATTAGAGCGAGTTGCTCTTTCGTTGCTTGCCTGGTGCCAATGCAAAGTTTTACACGGTTTTAAACGAATATATTGCTTCTGTTTTAATTTAATACCTGCGTAGCAGTCTTTTTTAATGATTTTGCAAGTTTAGTCTTCGTTTTGAGGCACAACAACACAAACGACATTTGAAAACAATATGAATTCTAGAAAAATATCTGAAACGAAAGCTAGTGAGTTAGAAATTTTCTGCGTCTTCGTGGCTACAAAGTAAGTGGAAGAAAGAAAGAGTTCGCTGGAAGGGTTTTGTTGCAGCTGAAAATGGTGTCCAAGCTAAGTGAGTTCCGCTGGAAATAGCCAACAAATATTGCGTTTCTCTTTGACAAACAACTTCCAGATTATGGATCTTAAAGCTTCAAGTTTCTTGACCCGGATTACACTGTGGCTCATGAGTGTACCTTGCAAGCGAGATCAGTAAAGTCCCGTTTTCTCCGGACTCACAAATCCTCTACTACAGGTACGAAAAAGCTATTGTGTACCCAAGAAGCCAATCGAATGGCTCAAAAATTTGCACACGGCCAGGACAGATGTCGGGTAAGCAAAGTTTGCTTCAAAATTTTTGTATTTGCTCTGGTCTGTCTTTTATAGCCAAATACAGCTATGAGAGGGAAGAAAAATTGTTTGCCAATTTTTGACAGGTTACAGTTTCAAGGGGAAGAGGAATTTGAAAATCTGAGACACCCTATAGTAGCTTAGGATCTGCGCTTTCTGCTGATATAAGTCAGATTTTGATACCTCAAACGCAAAGATACAAAATAGCTTTTGAAGGTGGTACACTCATTTAAGCAATAAATTTGCCTAGAAAGTATCATTTTACCATATTTGCCAATTCTTTTGATATGGTTGGAATCGCCATGTTCTTGTGCATCTAATGATGTATAGTTTAATCTGATTTCTTGAATAGTTTTGCTTTTAGGGAGAGAAAACCCAGTATCGTGTCAAAAACGTTTACCATAACCTTAAATAACCAAATTGCTCTCCATCGGAAAAATTATGGAAACAAACAAGATCTTTCCTTCCAGCAGCTTTATCAGTTTGTTAAGCAGTTGATCAATTTATCAGTCTGATATACTCATTTACTTTTGGCCATTTGATTTTGCACTAGGAACCCCTGAAGTGTGAAGATAGAAGTAAACAGAAGAAGAATAGAGTAAATGGGCAGGGGAAGACATTTTCTTTGATTTTATTGGCCTATACTTGCTGTTTATGCACAAGAACACAGCACGATTCCAATTCACTACGCATATCTTGATTTGATAGCATGTTTCTCGCTTCTTTGCCCAGGAACCACTTCGCACAGATACTAATTTCAAAGGTTAATCTGGCTTATCGCAACTCAGTACTTATAACCACATTGAAAAAAGCTGCTTGGTCAAATCTTTCACCCTAAAACTAGTGCCCTCCGCGAGATGGAGGCGCACTAAGCAGACAATTTGCAACACATTCAACTCGTTATAAGGTTTTCCAAAATGCTTTTTCAGATCATTAATTTCCAACGAAAAATTCCCAAAATGGATCTTATGACGTCATTACTTTAGAACTCTCTGTATAATAAAATCATAATTTTGAAATTTCTGCATAGTTTGAAAAAATGATACCTCCGTCTGATTCCTTTGTCCCGAGTAGCCAATAACAGCACCAGCATCCAGCGGCAGTTGGCATAGCCTCGTTCCGTCGACGAGGCTATGAATAAATAGTTTGTTCTAGCAGAATAATGAACAGATTCTTTTAGCAAAATTGATTGCAAGTAACAGGAAAGCATTTCCAAGTAGCACGAAAATATGAATATTCCGCTACTGTAGCTCTGCAGATGAACCACTTTTAAACAAGCCAATTCAACTTACTGTTCTCGAATTGTCCCCTGTATCTTCGTATTTTATTTCGTCTCAATATCTTCATATCAACTTTAACCCCAAAATCTTAACATAAATTTTAGGCAAAAAAATTTACCATTAACCTTCGCGATCATCACCATAAATTTAGCTCCCAGACCTTCAAATAGAATATAGACCGGAGATCTTCACATAAAACCTAATCCCTGGGTCATCACACTAGATTAAGCCCTGAGATCTTCACATGAAATTTATTTTTCATAATGTTAAATACCGAGCAGACGGGTTGATTGTCCTAATTCGATCTACAACTGGATATACATATTTCCTAGCGCAGAGTTCTCGGTCTATGTTCTGACGTTTTATACTCTGAAGAGTGTCAAACGAAAAGCTTCAGTATACTCAAATGTTTGCTTTTTCAAAGCCATTTTTAATTTTCGTACTACCAAAAGATTTTATAATTAGTATACTTCAAATTAGTAGCAAATGAAGTGACATTTGAACAGTTTTTGGCGGTCAAGAACTTGAAAATGGCTAGTGTGCTTTTATTAGTTTATTGTGAAGTGCCTATTCTTTTCGTCACCGACATTGAATATACCATAGAGAATGGGCCGTGACTGATGACATAGTAGTTTCTGAAATTTCGGGAATCTTTTTGGAAATCCTCTATGTGAATATCTATGTAACGTTTACTCTATAGCTTATAATCACGCTCATATTTTCTTATCTTGTATTAACCGCATACTTTAATTTGAAATTTATTGTTAGTTTGTAATGAAAGACGCTTGTAATTGTGTTGGCGATTGGCCATTACGGCCTACAAGCCTAATATGAAAAGAAAAAGAAATAGTAACTGATAAAAGGCCAATAAAGTGTTTCGAATCAATTAGTAATACTTCGCACCACTTACTGTTGCATGTTGATGCAACTGAATACTTTACCAGTTTATTGCTGGTAAGCTTACGTGGCACCTAGGCCATTAAGCCATCCCTTCTTAAAATGCCAAAGATAGTAGCAAAACATTAAACCTTGATATCATGGAGCGTGCACACCACCAGCTTGTCTTTGTTTACACAGCCAACCCACTCAATTACATCCTTTTCATCTTCCTCAATCAGAGTTTTCCAGCTCTCCTATAAATGAATGTCAATAAATCATTTACAATGACAACTTGAAAATGAGATTTGTTACCCTTTTCTTAAACTGTTGAGAACACTGAATCTGTAAACTATCCCTGAATCGCCTCACTATCATTGCTTACCGTATTTCCTCTAGAACCAGGTCTGGTTGCCTTTATACTTTTGTCGTCTTCAAGGGGGCACCTTTTTTGAGAGGGGAACTTTCTCAAGGGTGGGCGCTTTTTTGAGTTGGGTGTTTTACAGATCTTTCCTTTTGCAAGTCCAACAGGGTAACGTGAGCGTACAGTGCAGTTGGCCTCGTTGTTGCAGGAAAGTTTCAAGTTATGATGACGATCGATGCTAGATAAGCAAACATTTCAAATAATGAACTACAAAAGCTAAAAAGAAACAATACGCATTTTAAATTTACGCATGAAGAAAACGCTACAACTTCAGTGTCATATTTTATTCAGAAATATAGTAACCGATTGCAAGCATTATTCATATATTGTTGTTAATCGACCAAGACTTTTCGCGGGAATAGCGATTTTTTAGGAGGAGCACTTTTTGAAGGTGAACACGAAATCAGCATGAAGTCAAATGGTTTCACTTTGATAGCAAAAGCAAGAAACAAAACATGTTTAGTGAACATACAAGTGCTTCAAACATGATCACATTTAGTGAACATACAAGTCCGACAAACAAGCTCACATTTAATGAACATACAAGTACTACAAATAAGCTCGCATTTAGTGAACAAACAAGCGCGACCAACAAGCTCACATTTAGTGAAACATACAAATACTACAAACAAGCTCGCATTTAGTGAACATACAAGTACTACAAACATGCTCACATTTAGTGAACATACAAGTACTACAAACAAGCTCGCATTTAGTGAACATACAAGTACTACAAACAAGCTCGCATTTAGTGAACAAACAAGCGCGACCAACAAGCTCACATTTAGTGAACATGCAAGTGCTACAAACAAGCTCGCATTTAGTGAACATACAAGTACTACAAACAAGCTCACATTTAGTGAACATACAAGTGCTACAAACAAGCTCACATTTAATGAACATACAAATACTACAAACAAGCTCGCATT